TTGTTTAACCTGGTGGTTGGTTTGTGACGTTCAAGTTGTATCCGGGTTTGAGAGGGATTGGTGGTGATAAAAGTTACCCAAAATAAGGAGTCATGACGTACTTGGGCTTTGAAAGGATGCCACAGTCCTGCAAATGCCAACTCCGCTCAAGTGCAAATACATGGTTTACATTGTACGTCTCAGTCTATCCAGTTCATACCTCACGGTAGGTTTTGAGAACTGTCCCCACGACAGGCTTCAGTTCACAGAGGGACTTGCATAGTGAACCATAGCAGGCATCAAGCGCCGTAAACGTAAGACAGTCACCAGCGATGTTCACGCACCTCCTCTCCGTCGCCCTGTCTGATGGCCACTCTCCACCCTCGAGGAAATTGTCATTTTCCTAACCAGTCCCCAGACTCTGGGGCCCATCAAACTTGAGCACTCCTCCTGCTCAAGTCTGTCACTCCCCCGACCACACACACACACACACACACACACTCCATTATAAATTGGGACTTGCGTTAAGCCACGTTAAGGAATTTAAGATCTGTCATTTTGATATCAACTGGAACTCTAAAAACTTCCGTAAGCATGAAGTCCCATGGAGGGCTTGTTGGTCAACGCAGATTTCCACACCTGCCCTCGGAGCTTTCAATTCTATAGTTCTAGGTCAGGAATTGCCACCATGGTTCTCCCTCATCTCTGACACGATCAAGTGCCATGGTGTGGACCTCCTTGGTTTCTTGCGTGGAACTCCGTGTCTCCTGAGCCTGGACGTCTGTGTCTTTCCCCAGGTTAGGGAAATTTTCACCTATTGTTTCCTCAAACGAGTTTTCTGCCTCCTTCTCTTCTTCTGGGACCCCTGTAATGCGAATGTTTGCTCACTTAATGATGCCCGAGACACCCCTTAACCCATCCTCATTTCTAAAAATGCTTCATTTCTGCCGTTCAGCTTGGGTGCTTTCCGTGACCCTGTCTTCCAGATCACTGATCTGTGCTGCACCCGCTAATCTGTTGACTCCCTCCAGTGTATTTTAAGTAAGCTCTACGCCCAGCGTGGGGCTTGAACTCACGACTCTTAGATCAAGAGTCACACGCTTTTCTGACGGAAGCAGCCAGGTGCCCTTCTAGTGTATTTTTCATTTCAGTTATTGTGTTCCTCAGCTCTGATTGGTTCCTCTTGATATGTGCTATCTTTTTTTTTTT